TGCCGTATGCTCAGTTGTTGATCATTCTGGCTGGGCTACGGTGCGGATGTCCTTAGTTCAAATCGTTCTTACTTAAACTTGTGTTGTTTGGGAAGTTTTTAGAACCCTTCACTATCATAGCTTACATCCCAACACCCCACCCCCTTAAAATAAGTGGAAAAATAGCAATGTTTCCCTTACAGGTCTACGAGAGTCACGAAGTTCCTAGTTGAGAGAGAGAGAGAGAGAGAGAGAGAGAGAGAGAGAGAGAGAGAGAGAGAGAGAGAGAGAGAGAGAGAGAGAGACTCTTTTTCAGTGTATTATGCTTCCTCTCTGGTTCCCCTTCAGAGCCGTGGTCCTACGTGTCCGCTTTCGCAACTTGTCTGTCCGATGTGTGGGGGTCCTCGAACAATAGTGTGTGTGTGTGTGTGTGTGTGTGTGTGTGTGTGTGAGAGAGAGAGAGAGAGAGAAAGAGAGAGAGAGAGAGAGAGAGAGAGAGAGAGAGAGAGGGGGGCGGCGGGTCATAATACCCTTGTTTGCTCAGAGTTCGCCTGTATTTGCTGTAGGTCAGCTCCAGCTGTAGTTCGTTGTACGCTGGATTCATGCCAGAGCATGCAAATAAAACAATAGGAATGGAGTAAGACTAGGAACTTAATCGCAAAGTCAAATGATTATTTATAGTGTGCAGTCGTAGTGCCGTTATTTAGGGTACACGTTTCGTTTCTCGTCACCATTTCACATTATTTTAAGTGGGTGGTTGGCGGGTGCTCTGGCATGGTTTGCTCCTTTCTTGTGTTTGTTACTTTCTAATCTACGGCACTTATATGACCTTATTGTGTTGCAAGTTCCGTAAAACTTTTACAAAAACTAAACATTACTATATTCTATATGTTCATATTAAGATATGAGGATGACCAGGCTGGGCATTTCAACATATGAACACCCTATTAAAGGTTTTAAGAGCAGCCTTTGCTTCTCGGCCTTTTGGCTCCGATCAAAGGTGGTATCTGTTCTCCGCTACTCCTCCGGCCTTGTGCCCCCTGGTTTAGCGAGGCAGGTACTGCCCGGAGCACTCCGAGGGACGGAGAAATCTGACCCTCTTTTCTATCGGGTGGACGGTTATCGTACGCTAATAAAAAAATTTTTTTTAAAAAAAAGAGCAGCCTTTGCCTCACACGCAAAGCAAATTCAATACGGCGTCTTAATTGACATTTTGGGGTTTGGGTGGCTTGAAGGTAATTGAAGGTTAAAAAAAAGAAGCGAAATTTACAATTTTCTCTTTTTATAATTTTGCCAAAATGACTATCGGAAAGCACTTTCATGCTAGACTTCTAATGTAACCCAGAACAATAGATATATCCAGAAATGCCTATATAATTATATACACATTACCAGCTTTTTAAGTTAATTGTCCCCAAAATGTGGAACTTAAGAAGTTCTCTAACACCCCCCCCCCCCAAACCCCTGAAAAAAAGTTGTTTTTTTCTGGGAATCACAGAAGATATTATTTTTTTGAGATCCCTTTTTAGAGAACTCAACTTCACCGATACGAATGAAATAAGGTTCTAAAGTAATTCGTAAAGTACACCAACAGAGAGCTGTAAAGTAGTGCATGGATGACGCTGCTTTTCTGGATTCGCGCAAGAGTGGGTGGTTGGCGGGTGCTCTGGTGTGGTTTGCTCCTTCTTTCCTATCAAACATCTGTCGTCCTTTTCTCCCCTCCTTGTATTTTGTGTTTGTTACTCTCTTGTAATCCCTCTAACCTTCGGCACTTATATGACCTTATTGTGTTGCAAGTGCCGTAAAACTCTGACTAAAACTAAAACAACGTGCTAGAGATTGCAGTATTAAAATCAAGCCTACTCTAACGACCACATGTGAAAGAGTCTCATGTATACAAACGACCATTTCTTATTCCCTCATTTGCATTTTTTTGGACATGCGTATTATAATTATAATATAAAAATGACACCGCCCTAGAGGACCACCTGCCTAAAATGATAACTTTTCTCCCCGGCAATGGATGGTCGTTCTGGATAGGGTCGACTGTCTCCCCC